TCTGCAGAGGAGAGATAAGGATTCATTATTCCAAATCATTATGAATCCAGCGTTGGCTGTGACTTCTTTCTTAATCAGCTTCTGTGATCCTGGATACGTGAAGGGAGCAGATAAGAGCGCAGTCGTTTATAAATCTCCCCACCTCGGCCTAATATTTTAAAATAAAATCGAAAGGAGAACCAGGAAAAAAGCGCATCTTCTTTGGCGAATGCACTGGGCGTGAATAATAAAACACATTGATGAAATAAATCAGGGGATAAATAAAACGCAGCCCATACATTTTGGAGGCGTTTTGTTTGAAATTAAGGTCATCTTAAATGACATTTACAGCGAATAATTGTGTAGGCAGAGACGAAGGCTTTATATAGGCCAAATGCAGCAATTATTACAGATTTGGGGTCCAAAAACTTGATCTTTCGCTTTACATCTAAACGTTTAAATTTATTTACGTGCCAGCGATGGTACCAAGGATTAGACAAATGGCATGGAATTGTATGGGGAGCAAAACTGCAAGCGCCAGATTCAGATGAAAAGTCAGTAAGCTGAGTAGGCTAAACAATCTTATTTGGTGAAATTCTTTGGACAAATAAAAAAAAATATATATATATATATATATATGTTAGGCCTATTTGGGTTTCCAGTCACTAGCGGACTGTGCATGCGCACAGCCTCCCTGCTTCATGTTGGCCCAGTCCTCCAAGAGCTTTGCACACAGCTCTTGTCACACGGGAGTCCGCGTCATATTTTGTGAGACGAGCAGATGTGTTAGGGCAGTCCGTGAGATAGAATACTACAATACATGAAGTATATGCATACATGTATGTATGTATGTGTGTGTGTGTGTGTGTGTGTGTGTGTGTGTGTGTGTGTATGTATGTATGTATGTATGTATGTATGTATGTATGTATGTATGTATATATATATGTATGTATATATATATATATATATATATATATATATATATATATATATATATATATATATATATATATATATATATATATATATATATATATATATATATATACACATATATATATATTCAATGTGTTGTTATTATTAATTAATTAGACATGCAATTAGCCTACGTTATCTAACAGACTATCAAATCAATACTATTGTGCATTTTCATTTTATACCAAATTAATGGCTAATCACCCGCACCCCCTCTAAAATCAACAACAAAAAAACTAACAAACAAAACAAATAACATTCTGTTTTCGTTAATAACAGATTAATGCACCATAAAGTCATGCGTTATGTAGGTTTAGTAATTATATTAATTCCATGAATGAAAAGCTGCGCTCTCTGCGCGTGGAGGAAAAATATTAATTGGTATAAAAAGATAGGCCTATTTGGCTGTTCTGAGTAAAGGCTACAATAAAGCCAGTTTGGGGTATCTTTACATTATAACCAAAATTCACTCCCGTCCAAAGACAGATTTTGGTGTGATCAGTTCACATTCTTACTGAAAGACTCTAGGCACACGAGAGATAGGATGCTCCGCTCAGCATCCTCCTCTTCTCCCTCAGTGCGTTCCACTGGGGAAACGATCGGATTTGTTGAGTGCTTCTTTCAATCAACCGTGGTGTAAGTAACAGGCTACTAGGCCTATATGCTCCAGTTGTATGTGGCTTTGGTTGTTCAAAACAGTGTCTGAAGGCACCAGTCCTCATCCAATATGCTCATAAAATAATAGTCATCAGTTAATCATTGCCTTCTTCAAAGTAAGACGTTCTGATTCATGAGTGGTTAACTCGCATCTGACTAGAGAGAGAGGGAGAGAGCATTTGTTGGTTTAATGTCAGTCTCTTTTTGCTCTTTTGCTTTAAATAGAAACAGTCTCTACGCCTAGACCTAAAAGAATAGCCAAATGAACCAAGCTAAACTAAATCTCACAATGCTGTTTACAAAAAGGTGAGAAATGCGCTAAGATGTGCACAGAGATAGGCTGGCCTAAATCCATTATAACAGTGTTTGTATTGCGTGAGCTTGTGACACCTCACTTACACCCGGAAGCTCGCGACGCGTTCTCAGTACAGTACGGTAAAGAGGTCGTCTTTGTTTGGCCCGTGCGCGTGCATGCTGCCCGGTTGCCTGTGCGCGTGCGGCCGCCTTTTCTCGCAGTGCGACTCCTCCAGTAGCAGCAGTGCGTTCCCTCCCTTCTCCCTTCCGTGGCTCTCGCCCTCTCAGTCAGTCTGCCTCAGTCCATTTCTGTAAATACCAACGGCGCATCAATTTCTTTGCTACTCTCTCTTTTCATCTGTCGGGAAAAGCCTGTGCTGGTCCAGCGTGCTTTACAGGTCAGTAAATATTTAGATTTATTTTGAAGCCACATCCTCATCGCTCTGTCCAGGCAACATCTGCCTAGGATAGGCAGCAACCTTTATACGCATCTTCCAAAAACGAACCACTTACCGCTTTGCCACTTTTTATATAATTTATGACGCACATTTTGTCCGTGTAAACTTGAGCTTACAAAGGAATGCTTGTTCAGCTATCGAACACTGACAACCATGGCACCCAACTCCTGTGTTTTGTAACAAACCACAATAGACTATCTTCATATCACCGCACAAGGCGTAAAATGATGATGACACAAATATTAAGCTCCAAATTATTACATTTCTTAAAACATTTCTTAGTCTTTTCGTTGCCTGGAAGAAATGGCAATATTATGTGTTTTAAAACTACCCATTACCTCTCAGGTTAGTGGTCGACCTATAGGCAGAATCTCATACATGGCGTGAAATTGATGTGATTACCTTGCCTGCGGGTCGTGGGGAAGCAGTCAGGCTTGCTGAGACTGCGTTTCTCCCGGTATTAACTCTCTTCATCTAGACCAATGTCGATAAGAGTGGATACGTTTGGACAGGACATACGGTAGCTCTTTCAGCATAGAGCAGCCTCTGCATCACCGGGACGGAACACAATGTGGTAGCATGTTTTACAGGTTAAATCTATTAGACTATATCTTAATAAATAAATAAATAAAATAAAATAAAATAAAACATGTTAAGTGGAGATAGAAATACCAGGCGGTGATGAATTGTATAGTTTTTTAATGGGCTTTTTGTTCCTGTTTTTCACTTTTAGTTTTAATTTTCCTATTAAATTTATTTGTGTAGGCCTAATATTTCACAAATTGATATGTATTGATATATTTTACTTAACAGTTTTTACTTATTGCCGACAGGTGGATGCTTTACTCGTGCACGCTAAGAGAGGTCAAAAGGCCCAGCAAGTCCCCTCAAAGATTACATCAATGCGTCTGGCTTCTGGTGACGCAGATAGCAATCACAATTCTTCACATTTGCGACATTTTGTTTCGCACTTTTTGTTTAAAATAATGAATAAAATGCTACATATAGCTAGCATATATATATATATATATATATATATATATATATATATATATATATATATATATATATATATATATATATATATATATATATATATATATACACACACACACACACACACAACTGATTGAGTTTCACACTCAGCCAGCCTCATTTTACGCCCTCGTTTAGTTCTAAGAAGCCAAGTACATTCACAGCCTCACAGAAAGAATAGTTCTTGAAAAGACTAAAGAGGTGAAGAATGACTCACACAGCGTATACAGGCTAACCGTGAACTTTCAAAATAACTACATAAATTAAACATTTAACTTGGGACACAATTCACGTGGTTTCACGTTAGGCGATTTCTGTATTATTAGGCTTTTTTGGGGGGGGGGACTGCGCAATCAGTTTACAGCAAGATGTAGTCTAAACTGAAAGGCCTAATTGATACGTCTATTGTATGAAATTATTCATCCATAAAAAGTTGGCCTATGCAAAAACACTTGCTAGTATATTAGGAAAACGTGTCTTCCCGAACTAGAGTATTTCTTAAAACAGTGCCCTTTTTTTTTATTTGAGTAAGAGCTGATAAGATCACTTGTCTCTTTGGCCTGTAAATGCCTCAAACGCAAACGAGCATAATAGTCTTCCCATTCACACCTCTTAAAGACTGGTCTACATTTGGCAAGCGCTGCCACACAGCAATATTTAGTGTGAAGGCTGCATATAGGATAAGTACATCCATTGACAAATTGACAAATCAGATCTGTATTGACTTGTTTTAATACGGAGTTGTAGCCACAATACAAACATTTTGAAGGCATGGAGCTCATAAGCACCAATGGATAGCGGTTTATTTCCTCGCATTTTCCCTACACCGTGATTACGTCACAGCCAGTGGCGTCGGCAAGGCTGTCTATCCTCACACACCCCTTTTCTACTATTACAGTCAGTGCTATAACATGAACCCAAACTAGGAGTAAATAAAACCTTTTTTTCCGAGGAGTAATTCCGCTGCGTAAGCGTGCAACAAAGGCACATCTTTACTCCATTCCATTCCACGCACGCCATGGCCATAGTGAATGTATAATTCTTTAAATAATACAAAAAGATGAACGATATGAACATGATCAGGCCCTTTGAGAGCTATCGTCTTACATTTAATGCAGTGTTTTGAATAAATAATGACACAAGCCATTTTTGCCTGTCTGTTTGAGTTACTGCAGAGGGCAGGTTATTACAAAAATAACACAAGCTGAATGACAGTCACTAATAGACTAGAGATAGTTTAGTCGACAGTAAGGCCAGTCTTCGAGCGCACTGAACTCTTGCTACAGAGGGAGGGAATCTGCTCAATTTGGCTGTCACCGCGAGAGGACGCACTGTCACAATTTTAAGAATGGAAACATTCTGCCGTAGCCCAGAGCAACAGGCTTGACTGCCTGCACTGCACTCAGCAGTTCACCGGATACTGAAACAAACAACATTGTGATTAGTCCTAACTCGGACTTATTGTAACATTATAGTGGTGTTAGGCATTGTTTAAGTTGGCTTAATGTAATTTATTTATTTTTATTTTTTTTTGTGACCAGTGTCTTCTTTTCTTTTTTCCCCAACATGAATTCCCAACATGTTGTTTATTCAATGTATTTGGAGTAAAAAATGAATCTTACCTTAGTTGGGAACCTCTCCTGGCGTTTCTCTATTCAATTAGGGCAGGCCCCTCCCCTTAACTGATGACACTGACAGACCCTCCTTAAGTTGCGTCGCGCCACAGCTGTCTGCGAGCATTGAGCTGCCTGGCGCCATCCTGAAAGAATGCCTTCACTGTAAAAAAAAAAAAAAAAAAAAAAAAAAAAAGGTAGGAGTGAGAGAGCAGTGTCGGGCGAGAGAGCCAGAACTTTAGTGAGGACTGAGAGCAGAAGCTAATGGACACAACCACTCCAGCGCACCAGCACGCCTGAGCAGTGATTTGAACCCGCTGGGTCAGCGCACTGAAGCCGACTACTGCAAACGAACCGCGCGTATTGCTTGTTGAGCTCAGCTCAAACTTTTCAAATAGGAACAAGTTCAGCGACAGTGTCTCTTTCGTTTTGGACGTATTCGTTGACGAGCGTATTAACTTTGTAATGCTGGGTATGTGTCTTATTTAAGTATATGTTTAAATACGGCTTCGCATTGTTTCTGTCAGATGTAAATATTTATTTTGAGCCGTTCAAAGGAATGTCCAGATTTAACACCTTATTTCTGTGTTCAGGTGATTGGAAGCGCGCACGGAACCTGTGGATTTAAACAAACGGATTTGGAACTTTCTTTCTTGTAAACTGCACAAGGTGGCCTGGCGTGCATGAACATAGACTGAAATAAGAGCAACACAATGGAGGTTAGCCCGGACCAACCCCGGTGGATGAGCCATCATCCAGCTGTATTAAACGAGCAGCATCACAGCTCACATCACCCAGGCCTCGGCCACTCATATATGGACCCCTCGCAGTATCCGCTTGCTGACGATGTGGATGTACTCTTTAATATCGATGGACAGGGCAACCACGTCTCTCCTTATTATGGGAACTCAGTCCGTGCCGTACAGAGGTACCCTCCTCCTCCACACAGTAAGTAAACGGCCTCTCAGGCCTTTATTTAATCAAGGCCACATTATCTATTTAGTCTCTGTGTGTAATTTAGCTCTGCAGATTAGATGCGCTGGAGTTATGGAATTTTATTACAAAGACACAAAAACATTGGTTTACTATTGGAAAAAGTGTCAAATCTGACCCAGTTTAGTTTTCAAGTCTAGCCTCTTGTAAAATACAATTCTGCAACATTTAGCCTATTTTACGCATAGGTCTGTTTTAATGTAGCCGTGCCCTGACAGGTTTAAATCTGTGTATGTGTGCTTAAAATTAAGACTGCAACGCGTTTAATCACAAAATGTTCTAAAATAATTTAGTCAAAAATCGCTTTAAATACTAGGCTACGTTGGAACTGCAGAGATGCGCTGGGCCCTGGTTGAAATGTTTTAGAATGATAAGATATTGCTGAGTGGGATCATTTCGTATCGCTGGCCTGTTTTCTAAATCACGCTTTTTGGGTCAATTTGAATCAGTTGCACTAAAGCGAGTGACATTTTTCAATCCAGTGCTAATGTGTTTTTGTGCTTGTTCTAGGTAGCCAAGTGTGTCGTCCATCGTTACTACACGGTTCTCTGCCGTGGCTGGAGGGGAGCAAAGGCATTGCCCCACATCCCAGCACTTCCCCCTGGAACCTAAGCCCCTTCCCCAAAAACCCTCTACACCATGGGTCCCCTGCCAGCCTCTCAGTCTATCCACCGGCCTCCTCATCTTCGTTGTCCAACGGCCACTCTAGTCCGCACCTCTTTACGTTTCCCCCGACCCCTCCCAAAGACGTTTCACCGGACCCCGGTATCTCCACTCCGGGCTCCAACAGCTCCGCTCGTCAGGAGGACAAAGAGTGCATAAAGTACCAGGTTTCCTTGGCAGAGAGCATGAAGCTGGAGTCAGCTCACAGCCGGGGTGTGACGTCTATCGGAGCAGGGTCATCCTCTGCCCATCACCCCATCGCCACATACCCACCTTATGTCCCCGAATACGGCCCAGGCCTCTTCCCACCAAGTAGCCTGATAGGTGGGTCATCTTCTAGTTATGGTTCCAAAACAAGACCAAAAACAAGGTCCTGTTCAGGTAGGCGTGCGCTTTATTACATTCACTTTTAACTTAACATTATTCCCCAGATTTCCAGCTGCTCCAAAATGAGCTATTCATACAAAAATTAGGCTGAAGACCCTTTATTAGAGTTGGCACCACCACCACCACCAATAATAATAATAATGATGATAATAATAATAATAATAATAATAATAATAATAATAATAATAATAATAATAATAATAATAATAATGGACTGCTCTCTTGCTCTAAGGGGCATACTGGGGAAGTCAGCTCTATGGGCTGTGTCGCCTCGTTTATATGTTTAACATAATCCCATTACTGTCAGACCAGTGCACGCCACAGTTGCTTTGTTTACTCAGCGCCGGATGCTGCTCGTTCATTCACGGGGAAAACGCTAGTGAATTGCCGGCGTGTCGGAGTGCACTAAAATATTTTCAAATTGCACAGTGAAGGCAAATATTATTTGAAGGTTGTGGTTCTGTGCATGTTTCTGAAATGACATGTCAATATCTTGATTTAGTGGAAACAAAAACCCAGCATTAGTTGATGTGTGATATACACAGAGGCAACAACATAATAGGCCTGTGTTAGTTGAGAATTAATTGGTATCATATGTAGTCGATGCGTTTCTTATAATGAATCCTAGCCTATTATTATTGATATAAAATTTTAAAGGAAGCGTGAAGCTCTTTCTACACACTCCATGCTGGATTTCACTCATAAAAAAACATCGTAACCTATGCCTCTCACATCATGCCTCTGTAATGAAGTCTTCCTGTGCTCTTGCAGTTCGCAAAAAGGGGAAGTGTGCCTGCTTAAAATGCAAACGTACTCAGTCCCGCACAAAAACCCTGTGTGAATTTCTGCTTTCAAATAATCTGTGTGACTCCATCTTTCAGCGTCAACGGGCCCACGCGCGTTTCACCTGTCGGTGCCACTGTAGTGCAGTCAAATTAAGAGCAGCGACGCTATTATTATTATTATTATTATTATTATTATTATTATTATTATTATTATTATTATTATTATTATACCGTTTTCATAACATACATTATAGTAGCCTACACTTTTACTAGGCCATTTCAATTTCTGTGTTGTTGTTGGTGTTGATGTTAAAGGTCAATTATTGGTGTTCTTTGCTTAATATTGCTCAAGCAAGCAAAGGCTAATGTTTGAATGTGAAGAAAGTCCACAACAGCACACTTTTAAAACTCGTGTCTTTTTTCTCATGCAATAGGCTAATGTTTGGCATTATTCCACTATTTTGTCTGCAAATGACGATACAATTTGACATTTTAATGTTTTTAACTGTCCACTAACCTACCGTGTGTCTGTGTCTATTGCGCTTGCAGAAGGTAGAGAGTGCGTGAACTGCGGGGCCACGTCGACTCCGCTATGGAGGCGGGACGGTACGGGACACTATCTCTGCAACGCCTGTGGTCTCTATCATAAGATGAACGGGCAGAATCGTCCTCTAATAAAACCGAAGCGGAGATTGGTACGTTCCCACCAAATTGTGTCAAATTCTATTTCACCGTTATCTTCTGTTGGTCTTCTGTGCTATTCTCCCTAATAGGAAAAATACTTTACTTTACTTCATTTGTCTAATCTGCCTTTTTAAATAGACTGTGTTTCATCATGACATGAAAATAAATGTGAATAATAATAATAATAATAATAATAATAATAATAATAAAATAGACCGACAATATTTAAATGCCCATGCATTTAACTATTCACCTGCATTTAACTATTATTCTATTCAGAAAATACATTTTGAACACAAATCAGTTTTATTGATTATTATTTGGAACCATATCCATAAGCTCACGAGTAGGCTGCAACTCCATGCTTGTCTGTAATGTGAAAAGCCGACTTTCCCGGAAAGGGCTGCCGGATATCTGAACAGTGCAGATAAGTCGCTTCTAACAACACCGGCCGCTTCCCCAGTCATAACATACAGCCGGTGGAGTCTGAGGCATGCCAGCACACAGGCGCAACTTGAGTTTGTTTAGCGCTCGAAACACTTAAAACGCTGCGCTAATGGTCATGACACACTTGACCTTGTCCTCAGCAGATTGGACGAACACAAGACCTGCTTCTCTGCAGGTTAAAATTAAAACCCCAAACACTAACGAGATATGATGCAGCTATGTGCGCGTGAACAGCACCAGGTATTATCAAGCCACAACACATGAACAAATGAAAATCTCCTCAAAGATAAAGTAGCCCCGTATCCGCTATGGTCACTTGTCTATTGATTATTTTAGAGATTATAACATCAATGTCAAGTCAACAAAGGAGTGCAGTGAAAACTCGGTTCAATTTGTTACACAGTTCGCTTGGCAACCATTATATCCAACCTACTTCTAGCATGTGTTTTATCTGCCTGTGTGTAATTGGACGTTTTGCTGGATATTTTTAAACTCTTTTGCGTTCCGGTGAAGATGTTTTTATTTATTTATTTATTTATTTTAATCACCGCCTTTTCTAACGTAGTTGCACTCACACAATAACGGAAAGGCCATATGCATTATACAATTGGGTGCAAAATAACAACTGGGACTAACGCTTTATTGTCGTGTAGACTTAGCCTATATTTTTATTGCTGTAAAAATCATGTTAATAATTTATTGCATTTGCTTGTCGTTTAAAAATCCTATACGGATTCATATACTATGTAGAGTAGATTTGTAGGTCTTTATCATTAACATGTATCCAGTCGATCTGAAGAATCAGATGAATGGAAATATTATCAGCCTATTTCTAGTACGTGTGACATTGAATCCTTTAGTTCAGTCAGCCTTAGCCACACTACTTCATAATATTGTCGTGATTGATGGACTCATCATGTGATGTTGGTTTTCTTTTGTGTGTTCAGTCTGCTGCCAGACGGGCAGGAACATCCTGCGCTAATTGTCAGACTACCACTACCACGTTGTGGCGGAGGAACGCCAATGGCGACCCGGTTTGCAATGCCTGCGGCCTCTACTACAAACTTCACAATGTAAGTATTGCTGCTAATGATATATTTTCTCTTCAAGCTCATGGTCCTTCTTGTCAGATGTCCAGAATAGCACGTTCCGCTGACATTACTTATGTCTTTCTGTACCTGCTGGGCAAAGAGCTTTCCGGCCACATTAACAAGACAGAAAATTAAAATGATTAAAATATTACATTCAAGTATAAACATTCTGAACATCTTTTAAAAAAACTGTAATATAAACATTTTTATTTATTAAAATTTGTCTTTTCTGGGCTGTTCTGTACTGCATGCTCCAGGTACTCCAGTCTTTCTTTTGGCCTCCATGTAGTGTGATCCTTTTTTTTTTTTTAGCAACAAATTAATATATGTTATGTACTGTTGTTTTATGTTAGAGCACAACAGACCACAGACAACATGTTTTGTGTTTGTAAAATGTGTTTTTACAAACATTCTGCTTTCATGCTTTCTTTATAGTCTGTTTGTTTTGTTTCATACTGTGTTGTATATCCAGAGTCAACATTAAAAAAGAACTCTCATACACATTAAAGCATGTTATATGCACTTGAATCATTAAGATAGGTTTGCTCAAAAAGTTGATATCTGACAATATCATGGAGAAATCTCAGCTCTATTCATTAGAGCAGCAGTAATATAATTGATTTGGATTCACTGTCTCTACATTTTTTGTAGGTATCCATTTATGGCATAGTGGTAGCCTTATATTGTCATAATAGTGCACGAATTTGGTGCATTACCCTGATTTGCACTACAATGGAAGTTCTCCACGTTCATAATTTTCTTTCCATTTTTCCATTTTTAATTTTGTAGGCACATCTCTTATGATTTGTTTTATTCTTATTTAGAATGAGAATAAAATCTAGTGGCTGTAAAACAAATTTACCCTCATCCAAGAGGTCGCTTAGAAGATGTGTGTCTTGACAGTGTGCTGATGTGACAAAAATACTAATCTGCCATCTTTCTGTCTTCTTTGAGAGCAGATCAACAGACCTCTGACGATGAAAAAGGAAGGCATCCAGACAAGAAACAGGAAGATGTCCAGCAAGTCAAAGAAGAGTAAAAAGTCTCAAGACAACATGGAGGACTTCTCCAAAAGCCTGATGGACAAGAGCAGTTCTTTCAGCCCCGCAGCCCTGTCCCGCCACATGTCCTCATTCCCCCCCTTTTCACACTCCAGCCACATGTTGACCACGCCCACACCCATGCACCCCTCTTCCAGTCTCCCGTTCCCGCACCACTCAAGTATGGTAACAGCCATGGGCTAGTCCCATTCTGAACTTCAGCACGCCCAATGGTACCTCTGCTTCTCAACAGACACAAAGACAGCTTATTGACCCAAACGAAGCTCATGGTCTCACTCCTCATCCAAGATGGGGCGACAACAGACTTTAGACTCTTTTTATGAGTTGTATTTTATTTTTGTATGACAGTGCACCTCTGCAAAGTGAATGCTTTGCAGACTGTACTATGGCTCACTGACCTCTGGGGACCTCAACCAAGAGAGAGACATTTGCCCTACACTGAGGCTGCCCCCTTCATTTATGTACAAAAGCCATTTTCCATCCAACAATACAAACTCTTTTAATTTTCAGTTCAGCCTCATCTTGCACCTGTGTAACAGGATCCCCTGCTCCTTTCCTTCTTCCTCTAACTGGGGGCAGGCATTAAATACGTATATTTGTACAAATTGTATGAAATACAATACATTTAAGAAAGACTTTTTAATAATTAAAAAATGGAAACTGAGCATCTAAGGTACAGGGCAGAAGAAGAAGCACAGAGTGGACTCAGAGGACTGTCAGAAGGGCAGTTTGTTCTGATGTATTAATTTAAGTGAAAGTGGCAGCTCTGAGCGCAGTGTCCCTCTGCTTCTTGTCTTTTGATGTGCTATAGGTCTGGGGCGGGTGCGTTGTGTTGATGCGAACATGTACACACACTGACACACACACTGACATAGACGAACACATCACTTGAAAGATTTTTTCCTGCCCACAGATTATATGCATTGTGAAAAGGTTCCTGTATTTGTTATTTGTATGTATAAATCAGAGTACCAAAAATATGAAAGAAACAAAGATGTAGAATTATTTCTTTATGTTATGCAGACTGAATGGTTGTAAAAAATTTAATAATAATAATCACTAGTGTAAAATATGACTGCATTTTGTTTTGTAAATTCTTTTCCTCTTTGAAAATAAATAAACTAGTTTAATCTCTGTTGATATGTCAGTGCTGTGGCCATGCCTCATTTTTTAATCTGTATCATTACACAACATGCTTGATATGTACTGTACACTCACAGCCGACAAATGGTCAGTTAGGCACAAACAGGAAGAACCGGAATAAACAGTGGTTATGCAGGAATCTAGTGGTTGGGTCAAAGCTGACTACTTGTTGTCCATCTGACCAATAACCAAACGTGCCACTCCATGCAAGAATCACATTCACGATTTATAAGGGGAAGAGCGATGATTGGGCTAGAGTGTTGTACATGCATATTTAAAACCCTGTGATCAAATTGACTGCGAAAGAGGAAATAAGCAGGAAATACTAGTTTCAACCACTAACATGCTCATTTACATACAGGAAGATTTAATGGCACATTAATATTATTCATACAAACTGATAAACTTTTGTACTTTTATATCACTTAGACTTAGTTTTTTTTTAATCAGAACATAGCTCATAGTTCAGTGTAACACACAATGAGAAAATGTGGTTTCAAAGAAATGCATTCACCAAAAGGTGCTCTGTGATGTTATTGTTTTGCCTGGAATGTTCTACAGTATGACACTAAACTTATTTATGCTGCATTTACTCAATTACAGGTTTATTTATTGCAAAAAGTGCTCTTTCCCAAACTTTGCAGTACATATATATCTATAAAGTCTGCAGTTCTTCTGTATTTTGCACAGGAGGAACATGTTCATGTGCTGCAAGGGAGCGGAATGATGAGCACGGAGAAAGAAACGCACAGAAAGCTCCATTGGCACACCAATCCACTTCTTTGGACAAACAGCTGACCCACCCTGCACTCAGAAGAAGGGCCTCGGAAGTATCACCTCTGTGAGGGAAAAATGAGCATTATTATGTAAAAATAATCTAGCACACCGCATCTGAGCACCATAAAGTCTGTGTGAAGTTACATGTTTGAAGTAAACAACAGTGCACCTTTAAATGAATGTCTTAATAACTGAATCTTATTGATGCACTCTTTAGTATTGACCTTTAAGTGCACCTTTACTTCTACGTCAGGCCCCATCACTAATGTGAGAATGTCTTTGCTTGAGTGAAGAGGCATAGCAGTGGTCTGAGGGCTTCCTGCAGAAAGACCTCAGAGAAGTCAGGTATTTGGCATCATTTGTTTCTAAGCCGCTGCAACCAATCAGGAGATTTGCTTCTGTGTTTTAATAATGAGGTCAAGGGGGCATATGGATGAGAATGGCAGCAGTGCATGGCTCTGTTTGTATAGAAAGGGATTGAGGGGAGCTTTGCCTTGCACTGGGACCCTATGGCCTTTGGCTGACCTATCCCCTGTGTTTGCTGTGGATGGATGCCAGGGGTGAGTGCGTGTGCAGTGGCTAGCTCAGGTGTGGAGGGCTAACGGACACAGTGTCATCTGTCCTCTTCTCCTTTTCTTTGGCCTGCTCATGGACATATTGTCTGCCCCTCTCTGGCTACATCGTCAGGTGATGATAGAGCTGTGCCTGTAATTGGCCTAAAGTTCATCTTTGTCAAGTCATCCGTGGGTCAGACCTAGGATTACTTTAGAAGATTTTGGAAGCTCAGCTCTTATACAGACAACTTTTTACTCTAATAGTTAAGGACAACATTTAACATTAGTTCAGAAACATGTTGCATCTTTTTGGAGGACGGGAGAAAGTGTGCAGATGGATATTCAAGTCAAACACATAGTTTCATTGCACACCTCAGATATTTTCAGTCTTTTTTCAAAGTTATACTTCCATTTTCATTATCTTTTGTTATTTATTGCACCACATACTAAATTATATGATCGGACAAGAGATAGGATACATGTTATTTACAAAAATAATAACATTAACCACATTGCATTATTGGGGTCAGAAAAAACCAAACCCTAAAACCCATATTGCTGCTACTTAGATATATTAGGTACGTATCACGTCCAAAAATATTACATGGTTATATCTTATAAATTAACCACAACTGCTCTAAATCTGTAATTTGATGATTAAACAAGCTTGTTACACCTCGTCATAGTTACAAACCAAAACATGCTAATGAGTATAGCGACTGTAAAAGTGTTGACTGGTTATGGTTAATATCTCATACATAATGATAAAATGATAGCATTGATCATTTTAGCTCCTTGTCAGGTCTTCTGGAACCTAGATGATGAGCTGCTCTTGCATTGTGGGGGTTCTCACACTCACACGTTGAAGATCCTCTCAAGACTTTTCAAAAGATCAGACCACGCGGTGCATTGTCTCCTTAACAATCGTAAATTTTAAGCATAATCTCCCGTCACAACATTGCAGATAAAAGATAATTATCTCTTTTACTGAGGTGCCCTGGGGCTTATTGGACGGCGGTGCAGACAACATGCCTAAACCATTGCATCCCACACACACACACACACACACACACACACAGTCTCTCATATAGACTATAAAAACTCAAAATCTCTCATCCACCATAAATAATCAACTAAACTTTCATTTCATTTGGGATTATTGTATTTCTCATTTGTTTATTCTAAAAGGATGTGGCAGTTCAATAGTTAATTTTAGAAGCACATCAGTACAATATGTACTGCCAGTCATAGAAAATGCCATACATATTGATACATGCGGAGAGAGGAGTGGGGCAGGAAGAGAATGTACAGATGGACAGTGTTACATTATTTAACAAGAAACAAGAGTAAAAGTATGCGCAAATGCCAATGCCACCTTGAACCCCCAATGTCTAAGATGTCAGTCAGCCTGAGAAGAAAGAGCCAGTCGGAAACAACCTCTCTATGCCCCCCTCCTCCACGAGGAACTGTGGAACTAAGAAGTAAAGCAGGCTACTGAAAAAAATTAAGATAAACTCAAAATGTCTAGAGCAAATGGGCAAAATGTCTAGGCCAATGATTTAATGATAAATGTAATTTCAATCTTTCTTTTATAAAGATATGATTGGTGCCATTGGCACTAGGCAATGGTGCATCTATGATGTGTTTATTCACTACTTTACTCAACAAGCTGGTTTTCTTCTAAAAAGGGGGAAGGGCAGTCATGGCTCTCTTGAAACTAGGAGGAAGGAGAAAAAGTGCAGAGTAACAGGTCAGAGCAAGTGGAAATGAAAAAACAAAACAAAACAAAAAAACAAGAAAACCTGAGTTAAGGTGTACCAAGTAGAAAAGGCCCATAAAATGACCCCATGATAGAATCTGGAAACAACACTAAATGTAACCTTTAATATGTACATGTTGAACTGAGTTGTCCCAGGGTAATGGCTAGTCGACCTCTAGTCCCCAGGGCCAAACTGAAACTCACCTGTCAAAACTTTAGTGTCAAAAGCAAATTTGCATTGGCGTGCATTCACAAACTGTCACTGGGGTTTACCCAACAGTGTGACTAAAACTGAGCAATAACAAAACAATCTGACAGATACCTAACTGGTTTGCTTATAAAAATCCCAGAGAGAAGTGGAGTTGACAGGCGTTTGTGGTGATCTCCTGAGTGCGGTGGATTAGAGCAGTTTGATGACATGATTTTAACTAAGGTATAAGTTATTCCTGGACTATGTCATTGCTTAATCACCGTGATAAATGATGATGATTTCTCAAAACAGAAGTGGATTATTCTTAGATCGTCTTTCTATAGCATAATATAGCATAAAGACTATATTTGGCCTATTTTGTCTCTAGGACTAGTTTAAGGGATTACTTTTGACTCTGTTTGGCAAGTATACAAGAGATTTTGACTTTGAACTGACTGACTACTGTAACAGAAGTAATGATTAGTTTAAGTAATACAATGATTTTATGATTCAAATTGCTCAAGTGTGATAAAACATCCATTGCTTTATGCGTGAGCTCAGGTCAAATACTATCAATAAGATAAAAAGAGATTTAAACATAAACCAATCAGAGCATATTTATTAGGTAAAAACTACAGCCAAAGCCAGTGGTGAAAAATATCATTGGGATTTAAGCTTTTTATCTGTAGTACCTCAGGAACTGAAAGAAATTAGAAACGTGATATGTTATCTCCACTACTAACTATCAACCTCAGATCTCAATGAGGCATAATTTGTGTCATTGTATCTTGCTGATATCACAGCTAACCTGGATTATCTACACAGCTTTAAATATTTTGGCATGCAAACAAAACATAGATTATCTGATTGACTGATAATCAAAAGACAAACACAACTTTTTATTCAGTCCCTATTATGTCAAATCTTGAACACATTCAAATCGAAGTCTGAGAGTAGATTAAATGTGGTGTTCAGTGACAAAATGATATATACACCTGTCAGTCAATATCACCACAGGAGCAAACAGTCTGAAAGGTGAACATTACATTATAGTGTTGATGTAGTAGTGAGGTGCTGTACTTTATTGCTATATTTATTAAGACAATATTTGTTTGTTAAGATATATATTAACAAAGAAACAATATACAGAGTGAGTGCAGAAATAACTGTAAAACACTCTCAACAGTATTTCTTGGATATGGGGATAAAAAGAGGAAACAATTATTGATATTTTTGCTACTTTCTGCCACTGAAAGCTTAAATCTACACTAAATTGCATGTTAATTAGATACATTAGTTAAAATGTGTACAGTAGAGTTGATGAAGTGATGTTTATGAATGTGGCATCTGTTATTTCAGGTATAAAATATCAAAAGAGAAACTCATGTGAACGACTTTGAGCTTAAAATCAATCAATCAGATGGTGTAATTATAGCTATTCACATAACCATGAGAAAATGCAACACAGCTGATATGGGTTCACTTGAGGTTCCTTCACTTCTGTGTTCACACTGCTTCTGTTTCTCCAGAGTGTTTGTTCTAGAAGTAGCTGGTAGAGAGCAATGTTTTTACAGGGAAATGTCTTTTCCGAGAATCTTTAGATTCTAGCTGATCGTCTACTGCACATAGCCAATGGCGAGGGGTAGGTCAGAGCTCATTCAGGGTACTATGGCAGTGTCTACATTATTATACACATATCAAGAGGTCAAATGTAGTTTTTGAAT